TATGCTTGATTTAACAGGAAATAGTAATAATAATCGTCGACATAGTTTAGATTTATCTGATAGTATGTCAATTCTTTCTCTTCATTGTCGTCATAATCATCATCTTAATGGAAATATTTATACAAATATGGTTTCTGGTGGAGATGCATCAACAGTTAATACTGAAACTCAAACATCTCATTTAGCAGGTGGTGGTGGATCATCATCATCATCGTCTTCAACAAATTCATCACGTACACAAATTCATCAATCACAACAACAACAACAACATATACATCCATCAACTCATTTTCCTCCATGGCCTGCACATCATTCACAACCATTGTTTTATCCAGTAGTTTCTTATCATCCTATTTATTCATATCCACCATCAACATCAACAGCAATTCAACATCCACCAGCACCACTTTGTATTCATCCACCACCAACAACAATTAGTAGTTCATCATCAGATATATATAGTCATCATCATGATACAAATAGTCCAATTATAACTTCACTTCATAGTCAACCAAGCGATGAGAAGTATGATAATCTATTTTTTCTTCGTAATATTATAATAACGTATCTGTTTACTAAATATTCTCATGAAGATCAAATTGCATAATAGAATTTTGAATTTCTTTTGAGAAATATCAAATGACAAGATTAGTTATTTTTTTTCTTAAGATCATCAACATCATCTTTTCAACGTAATAGTCGTTCATCATCATCATCTTTACTTTCAGCTAATTCACAACGTTTAAGTATATTAATGCTTTTTTTTTTTGTTTTCTTTATAAAAAATAATTCTTGTAGGTCATCATCAATTAACTGAACAACATGATCATTGGTGGCTTGATATTCCATCAACAACAATATTTCGTATGTCATCATGTTATGCTTATCAAACAAGTTCAATTGATGTACCTATTAAAAATAATGGTTCAATTGACATAACAGTAATTTTTTTTTCTATTATTTATTAAATAAAACAATTGATTTTATTATAGTTAACTGTTAATATTCATAAATGGGATATTATTTCAGATACGAGTTCAACATCGAATGAACATCATCAAATAATTCCATTTCAATTAGATAAAACTGAATATATGATTAAATCTCAACAAGAAATCATGATTAAAGTACATTTTTGTCCATTTCAAACAGGCAATTATCAATGTAAAATAAATATAAAATGTCAATTTTGTCCTCAACATCAATCACCATCATCAACTTCACTTGTCACATTAGTTGGTGTCTGTCATGATCCTCGAAATGAGGTGAATTATTTCTAAAGACTTCTTCTCCTTTTCTTCTAAAAATTATAATGCTCGTTGAGAATAATTATATTTCCTCTAATTTTGATAATAACTCTAAATAGAATCCTCTTAAAAATAAATTAAGATTTCTTATTTAGCATCCAATATTACTTTCATCAATTAAAGAACAACAACGAAATTCGGATGAAAATCTTATCAATCGAACATCATCACAAAGTCAAGTATCAGATATGTCTTTAGCATCAACAACAGCACAAAGTGATGGTGATCTTACATCCACCAGTCAACATCGACAAAAAGATGCTATACTGTAAATAAAAAATAATCATAGAAAAAACTAATAAATATTCTTTTTGTCGTTTTCAAAAGTGATATTGCCAATCAGATTGGTATTGAACAAAATATACTTGATTTTGGTCAAGTTTGTATTAATGAAGACTCAACAACAAATTCCAAAACACTTAAATTAACAATTAAAAATTATAGTCGAACAGATCCTTGTGATGTAAGAAGAATTTGTTCGAATGAAATATAATCTCATATTTCTTGTTAGGTTGATATAAATGAACCACATTTACCATTCTGTATAAGTGTACGTCGTGCTACAATTAGGTAAATTAAATTTTCTTTTTATAAAAAAAAAACACTTTTGTTATTTAGAGAAAAATCATTTGTTAAATTAACGTGTAAATTTCGTCCGAAGAAAATCGGTCTCTATAGTGAAAATGTAACATTAGTTATAAAACGACGAAATAATTTTAAAACAACAATTACATTAACAGGTCGATGTATTATGGATAATATCAATACAGTTTCATATGATTCAATTGAAAATGAAGTAAAGAAAATCTATCTCATTTATTTTATTTTTAAATAATCTTTTTCTTTTTAGGAATAGTAATTTATTTTTTGTACTGTTGTTATCTTGATAGTAATTTTTCTTTTTCTTTTGTGTGTTCTTAAAAGAAGAAAAAAAACCTAGCATGTTTTTATAAAAATTTAATAAAGGAAAAGAATGTCATTTATTATTAAAAGCTTTAATCTATGTTGATGACACTCAATGATAAGATTAGATATAATGATGTCTCATGCATTTCTTTTTTGTTACTTTCGAAGGAAAAAAGAAAACATAAAACTGTTATTATTATTATTATTATTATTATGACTGATTCTGTGTGAACATCTGCAAAATAA